ATCTCCAAATCGCTAAATCGCTGTCCCAATGCTTTTCTTGGACAACCACTCTGCTCGATAATCCCTTAGAAGATGAAGGAACGTCAGGATCGCCAGAGGTTGACCACCAGGCAATACAGCGGCATTAATCAAAACAACTATGAAATGAAAAAGAAAAAAAGAAAATCGCATGACTGTCGATTACACCACACTGAAAAACACTTCCAGTACCACTCAACAGTGAATCATTAATCGCTTGAATTATCATTTAAGAAGGTTCAACCGGAAGTACAATTGTCAATATATGCAAAACAAAATAGCACGGCATTTCTATAAGCAAACATGGATAAACTAAACTGCAAAAAAGGCCCACAAATACTTACCTTCTCGAAAAACTTTACATCCTGGCCCTCTTTTTTGAAGCTATTTCGACGAGTCAATTCCTGACTTGGCTTGATCGTTTTCATTTTCGTAGAAGCTTGCTCCAGATATTGAATTAATTTTTCCAGTAAATTGTATGCAAATCGTTTTTCCACCGAACCTCGCTCACTTTCACTTTTGACACGTTCCGTCGATGGCTCTGTCTTCTCTGGACTGAAAAGAAAAGATTCAGTTTCGTCAAACAAGACAAAACATAACCAGCAGATTGAAACAGATCCAGAGTGAGGAAAACAGAACAATGAAAAGAATTTACGAGTTAAAATCAAGCCAAAAGTCAAAGCCTTTTCTGTGTTTGTTCCTTAGGAGATGCAGAAGAACTTGGGAACAAATCCGAAGTAGCAAGTGCTAACAGCAAATACTCACTGACAAGGCTCTCAATGGCTCCTTCATTTGAGAGTTGAATAGGAATGTATACGACTTCAAGGGCTAGAATATTTCTGTTCACCTAATTTTTTAATGTATATGTATGTATATCATCATTATTATCTTTATTATTTAAGAGTAAGCTGATGACGAGTTGAAATGCGATATTGCAATGTGAACTTCACATTTCATCATGCTTCACTGCCATGGTTCTTTGGAAAACTGGACACATTTCCCGAAACACATACAAACATTTACCAGTTCTACCAGTTCTCATGTTCATTCTTGAAATAATGACAGATGTTCCTTGAGCATACTAACCTTCCTCTGCTCCCATCGCCACCACGAAGACTTCGTTGCTTCATTATGTTAAATTAAATTTTCCAAGACGCTTACCTCCAGACACGATAGCCATGGTACTGAAGAAATTTCAAAATTTCAGCAGCACGGAATCGATCCTTGCGGCGCTCAAAATCGGTTAGCAAATCCCACGGTACAAGCTGTGGTGGCATATTGCCTCCTTTCGTCAAGTCGGCAAACACCTGCCAAGAATAGAAGGTAAGAAATGTTTCCAAGTGAAATTCTATTATCCGAACAACTGCAAATATCATTTATGCTCTAACAAATTATTCGGACTAACTGGGAACTGAATGTTTCATCCTTAGTGGATGGAATCTCTTGTTACGCAACTCTGACAAAAAAAAAAATCATTGTGGCTAGCCGACAAATCCGATACTTCCTCCTCAATTGCGAGAAATGCTCTTTTGAGCCACTGCTCTAGTAGTTCGATCTATGCTTTCTGGATCCTGAAGACCTACCCCGAACCGTCGGAGTAAATTGGCACTCCGAGGTTTGTTAGATACAGCTAAACAGCAGGTTATTACTGAATTGCGGCGAATCACACTTATTTTTAGTAATAATTTTAGTAGCTGTAAGCAAGAACAGTTAACCAAATGATGAATTCCTCTTCCCTCCTTTTCTGCTCTTTGGGGCCTGTTGTTCAGTCCGCCTCACCCCCCCCCCCCCCCCCCCCCCCCCCCCCCCCCCCCCC